ATAGTGGTTGATACATTACAAAAAGTAGTTTATAACAGTGTTTTAAAAGGCGAGAGCATTAAGTGGGGCATCCTATGTCTATCCAAGTCGAATGAAAGCCCCGAGGCATGGGGTGTAAGTACCACAAAATTTGTTTTTTTTAAATATATTAAAAAATATAAAATAATACTACAAAATTATAATACTCATACATATGTATGTATATATGCTACTAATAAATATAAAAAATTGATAAAATTAAGAAAATTACAAAAATATTATTGTTTGCTAACAAGTAAATTACAACTAACTTCAACGCATATATTAGCCATCTAGAATCATGTTAATAAAAAATAATTATATTTTGCGATCAAAGAAAAGGAAAAAAATAGGAAACAAAGTCATGGATGTTTTTATTTTGTATTCTCCCAAACTATTTTCAAAGATAAAATAAATGAAATCATTCTTTATAATTATTAAACAATAATAAGGATAGAAAACAAAGATAAGCAAGATAAAATAGTAAATTCAAAATTCAAAATTAAAAAATATAAAAACTTCCCGAATGCCCCAAATAACTTGGGGCTTATAACACTTGCACCCCCCCATTCAAATGCCCCGGGGCATTTGGAGCTCGCCTTGAGATTCGCCACAAAAATGCATTTTAAAACAATGGTTTATAGTTAAGTAGGATACTGTTATTTGTATGAGTTTGCTAAATAAGACTGTTAGAATGTAGAGCTCGTAAAGAGCTTCAGACAAAAGTATTACCTATCTACAGAGCTCGTAAGGAACTTCAGGCAAAAGTATTACCTATGCACAGAAAAAAGTATTTGCATAGTGGGTGAGATAGGTAGCAGGAAGTCATATGATTAGTGCTTGTTGGATTGGAAATAGTTACTCAATCTTTTTGTGTTTTGCTTGGCTGGTGATTGTTGTTGGTGGCGCTCTCTTCTGCTTGGGGCTTATATTGTGGTAGTCGTTACTCAATCTTTTTGTGTTTTGCTTGGCTGGTGATTGTTGTTGGTGGCGCTCTCTTCTGCTTGGGGCTTATATTGTGGTAGTCTTTTCTTGTGGTGCTTTCGCTGTTGTTCTATTTCTTGTTGTGGTTGCAAGTGACTTAGTTGTAGCACTTTGATCAGGCTGAGAATCGAATGTTGGACTGATTGGTTGTTTGCTTGAGTGTGCAATTGCTGATGTTTGATTAGGAGCTGTGTAGGATGTTGAGGCTATAAGAGATATGTAAAGCTCAATCAACAGCAATTCTCTAAGTTGAGGCAATAAACAATTATTCCATAATGATTTAACTTGAATTTCAATGCATACACAATAACTACAACTCAAGCAGTTGAAAATAAATCTGTAGAAGCCAACTACACAAATTGATCAAATCCAAACACAAATATAACCAATTATCCTTGACTATAATAGATGAAGAAAAGCTTTGCCATAGAAATAACTCTATGCATGCGATAAAGAAAGCATGACTGGCAATAAACCAATGAACAGTCAAATGAAAAGACTGAGTAGACGATGCAAAAGCAAACAAAAAACGCAAAAAATAACAAAGCAATTGACCAACACTTTTCAGAGTTAGCACAGAGCAAATGGGGAAGCAGGAATGCAAGACAAAGGAAATTGCAGCTTATGATTTTAGCAATATCTCAAGTGTACCATTGATTTGAGAATGGACAATCTCAACTTCCTTTTGTACTCTGAATTTCAGTAATTTGAACACAGTTAGTTCACAATTAGACGAAGAGTAAAGCGCCTCCGCACAAAGCACTATATTTGCACCACTCAAGTGATACATCAAATTATCTATACGTAGCTTGGAAATAGACACCTAAGCCAATAACATCACTAAAGCAGGGCAATAAAGTAAAATCACACGACCATATTTGCTATATACCTAACACAATCAAGCAATTTCGGCACCTTCCAACTCCTTCCACGTAAGCCACGCAATGCAAACTACCAATCCACCCCACACATTAAACGTACCCATAGGGGACCTCTGTTACTATTCATAAGAGGAACTCTTTCTTTTAGTCTCTTAGGATAGGAAATGAATAAATAAATACTACATAGAATTAGGAAAAGCAGCTATATTGCCTAAGAGTACATAAGAGAAAAAACTGCAATAGAAGAAAAGGGAAGATGATAGATTTGAAGATACCTCTTGCAGATGTCCTAACTTTCTTCTCATCCAAGAAAAGAAAAAAAAATGTAAAAAAACTTTCCTCTTAGCCCTAACTTTTGTAGTTTGGTTGTATCTATTTATTTATTTTTTTTATCGAGAGTCTACTTCTATTTTATTAGGAATCCTGACTATAGAGTTACTCATATCCAATCCTCTTCTTTGCATTCGATGGGTACATCCGATAGCATGTTCTCAACTCTTATCCGACAGTCGATGGAATTTGTGGGTTTGACAAGTCTTGCTTTCAATAGAGGTTAGATTGTTAAGGTGTTCTTTTCAAATTTATCAAACAGCCAATCTAAGGGGTTTACGTTCAATATGATTGTTCGATAGATTCCCTTGACTATCTGACGTCCTACATCCTTGTGAAGTGTCCAACAGCTTTCGTCAGAAATACTCGCGTCAATTACCGAACGTCTAATGCTTCGAAAAGCATTCGATAGCATCAACAATTTTTGCTTCATTTGATTCAAATCATTTCTTCATTCTTTTGGATTTGACACCTATTTTGGACAATTTCTCATATGAAACCATTAGTCTAAATCATCAATTTGTTTCATTATCATCAAAACTAAGGATTGATTAACCTAAATTTACAATCTCCCCCTTTTTAATGATGACAAACAAAATAATAATTTCTTTGATGAAATAGGACCCCCTTAGTATAAGCTCATTATTGAAAGAAATATCATTCAATTTTCTCTCTCTTTTGACATCATAATAAATAAATAAGGATAAAAGAACATTGTATAAGAAGAAGGAATTGCATAAAACTTCCCTAAAATCAAAGTCAAATCAATTTTCATCATTATTCTCATCAAGTATTCCTCTAGAATAATAATATAACTTAAGTAAGCACAAGGAGATGAATTATATCCAAAGAGTTATCCCTTCAAAAGTATATTAACAAGTACATACAAGGGAATCATGTAACGAATTATTTTCAAAATAATTTTTTACACATTCCTACTATAGTACCTCCTATTTTGAAAAATATATAAATAGGCACTAAGGTGTAAATAAAAGTATCATCAAAACAAGAGTTAATTAACATTCAAGCACGTGATGCAACTACCTCAATTATTGTGAGGATAAGAACATTTTATCTTTTTAAACATGAATAATATGAAAGTCACTAGATTGATATCAGATTCATTTTCTTATGTGATGTCAATATGGATAGATATAGCGTTTAAGTATGAAGATGACAAATAACATCACAATCATTTCACTTGCACAAAATAATATGCTAGGTTTAACTAAGTTAGGATTTGCTTATATGCAGAATAAAGATAGAGTGTTGAATAGTAGACCATGGGTGTATGATAATATGCCTTTAGTGGTACTACCATGGAGGGAGGGGCTGGAATTAGATGGAAATGCTTTTAACAAAACTTGAATATGGGTGCAAATCTAGAATCTCCTTTTACGCTAGATAACAAAAGATGCGGGAAGGAAGATTGGGGGAGTATTTTCATCTGTGAAAGATGTTATTATCCCCAATAGTGGGACTAAAGAGGGAAAGCATATGAAAATTCTAGCTGAAATTGATCTAAATCAACCAATGCTGAGGGGAACTATAGTTAAAATGAATGGTATAATTAGATGGGTGAAATTTAAGTATGAGAGGTGTCCTGATTTTTGTTTTAGCTGTGGAATTATGGGACATACAGAGAGAAACTACAAAGAAAAATGAGCTCATATGGGGAGAGAGCCTCAATTTGGAACATGGTTACAAGCTAGTAATCCAAGAAATCTTATTAAAAAACAAGGTAGATTTGGGCAGAATCAGGAGGAACTAGGTGAGATAGGAAGTAATGCACAAAAGGAAAATGAGGACAGGAATAGACTAATGATAACATGGAGAGAGAATGAGGGCGAAAGGTACGAGAATGAGAATAGAAATAGGAAAAAGAATAAGGATGAAGGGGTTGGGGTAATAGAAAATGGAAGTCAGATAATTAGGGAGGGGCAAATAAGAAAGGAAAACTATGCAGGAATGGATAAAAACAGTTGGGAAAGGGGAAAAAGGTAGAAAAGGGGAAAACTAAAAAGGAAAGTAATTAGAATGGACAGGAAATGAGGGATGAGGTGAGAAAGGAGCTTGGGGGAGCTATGGAGGAGATAGAAGAAGCAGGGTAGGAGGATAATATGTGGATAAATGGAACAATTGAATATAGAATGGAAAGGGATGCGAAAAGGGATAGACAGAAAGTTAAACAGAACTTGTTGGAAGGTTATAAAGAAGGCAAAAAGGGTGCGAAAGGAAAAGAGAATGGGAAAAGAAGATACAAAGGAAATAGAGGATGGAAAAGATTAGTGAAAGAAGTAGGAAATAGGAAGCTTTTAGCGGACTATAATGAGAGAATTCTAGGGCAAAAGAGGGGGAAAAGAAAAGGAGGGGCTGAGAAAGTAGTAGACAGTGTGGAGGTGGAAGTGGATAGTCAAAACAGAAGGATCAAAGGAAGTCTTTTGCTAGAAAATGAGGAGAGTAATTTGAAGGTAGTAGAATTTTACCTAAAAGGGGCTCTAATTTGTCAATGAATGTACTGGTGTGGAATTGTAGAGGTGTTGGGGGCCTCTTGACAATTCCTCAATTAGAGGAGATGGCTAAACTCCACTCCCCAAATTTAATATTTTTGTTTGAAACTAAGAACACAAAATGTGTTATGAACAAGGTTAAGATGAAACTTAGGTTTGATAACCTATTTGTGGTGGAACCAAGAGGGAAGGCTGGTGGATTAGCTGCTATGTGGAGAAATGATATTAAGGTCAATAGGGATACTAGACACTGATTTTACTATAGAATTACTTATAAATGACCAAAGGAAAAATTGTAAGTGGTGGCTCATTGGCATATATGCTAGCTCGGGGGACTAGGTTAGAGGGAAATAGTGGGACATTATTAGCCAGAGGAAATGTATTTGGGAAAAAAAACTGGATTCTAGCAGGAGATATGAAGGATAAAGTGTCAAATGCAGAAAAATGGGGAGAAAGTAAAAGGCCTAAATCTAGCTTTAGAGTTTTCAAGATCTTTATCAGAAATAATCAGCTTTCAGAATTGGGATTTGAGAGGGAGCCATGGACTTGGTGTAATAAATGGGATAATGCAGGAGAGGTAAAGGAAAGACTGGATAGAATTCTGATTGATAGTGGATGGAAAGAGACCTATGAAAGGGCAAAGTGCACTCACATTCATGTTGAAGCATCAGATCATTGTATGATGTTGTTGGAAACTGAACCAATAAGACGAAATTGGAAAAGGAGATTCTATTTTGACAGGAAATGGCTTGAATATAAAGAAGTGAGAGAGGTAATTAAAAAAGCATGGGGGAACAAGCAAGAGGGATCAAGATTTTTTAGACTCCAGAACAGAATCAAAGAATGTAGATTTGAGCTCATGAGATGGAATAAAAAGTTGAAGGGTAATGCTAAGAAGGGCATTGAGGAAGTAAAGCAGAAAATCATAGATATCAGGAATGTAGGGGGGCCTAATACAAAAGAGGATATCAGTTATCTGCAGAAAAAGCTTGCTAATGCCTATAAAAAAGAGGAAGTCTTCTGGGGACGAAAAGCTAGAGTAAAAAGGCTTCAAGAGGGAGACAAGAATACAAGTTATTTTCATGCTATGGTTGAAGCTAAAAGAAGGAGAAATAAAATATCTACACTTCAAAAGCAGAATGAAAATTAGTGTAAAGCTAAATCTGAAGTGGAGGAGGAAATAACAAGGTACTTCTACAACCTATTTAAGTCCTCACAGTTTGAGCCAATTTGATGTAATCCTTGAAGGAATTCCTCAGACAATTATGAGTCAGATGAACATGAGGTTAACAAGACCTGTTGTAGAATGGGAGGTCAAGAAGGCAGTGTTCTCATTGCATCAAAACAAGGGACTTGGACCGGATGTTTGGCACTAGTCTTTTTTCAAAGATTCTGGAACATCATAAAAGGTGATCTAACAGCTGCAATTTCTAGCTTTTTCCATTCTGGCAACCTTCTGAAGTCTATCAATGAAACCATTATTACTTTAGTTCCAAAAACTGAATTTCTTGTGATGGTGTCCCAATTTAGGCCTATAAGTCTGTGTAACGTTGTCTATAGAATCATTGCAAAAGTTCTTGTTAATAGAGTTAAGCCTTTTAAACACTGCATTAGTCTTAACCAATCGGCTTTTATACCTGGTAGATAGATTCTTGATAATGTGGTAATTGCTCATGAGTTTTTTCATCACCCAAATACAAAAAGAACTAGAAAAATAGTGCACATGGCTCTTAAGTTAGACATGTCCAAAGCCTATGATAGAGTCAAATAGGTCTTTTTGGGCAAAATTATGCAGAAAATGGGATTTTGTCCTATGTGAATTCAGTAGGTAATGAAATGTGCATCCTCTGTTAGCTATTCTTTTAATATTAATGGCGAGAGAAAGGCTTATGTTAGACCTAAGAGGGGACTTAGACAAGGAGATCCATTGTTCCCCTACTTGTTTGTGATGATTACTAAAGGTCTATCTAGTTTGGTGAAACATGCAATGCAATGTCAAAAAATAGCTAGATTGTGAATAGCAAAGGAGTGCCCTGCAGTTTCTCATTTGTTTTTCGTAGATGACACTCTTATTTTCTACAAGGCAACAAAGGAGGAAGCACAGCAAGTAATTGCAGATTTTAAAGATATATGAAAATGCATCTGGTCAAATGATTAATGCTGATAAATCATTTGTATTTTTTGGAAAAAATATGAGAGAGGATAAAAAAAGAAAGGTGATAGAAGTGCTAGAAGACATGAAGCAAGTACAACAGAGTAGATATATGGGCTTACCCGTGGCAATAGGAAGGACAAAAAAACAAGTGTTCACCTATATAAAGGAGAGAGTGGTGCATAGATTGAAGGGGTGGAGGAAAAACTGTTGAATCAAGCTGGAAAGGAAGTAATGCTGAAATCTATCATACTGGCAATGCTTACATATGCAATGGGATGTGTTAGACTGCCAAAAGGAATCTGTGTTGATATATGTAAGGAAATGGCAAAGTTCTGGTGGGGTGAAAAGGACAAAAAAAGGAAAATTCACTGGTTAGGATGGAGAGACTCACAGATGTTAAAGAAAAGGGAGGAATGGGTTTTAGAGATCTAATGGAGTTTAATACGACAATGTTAGCAAGGCAATTGTGAAGGATTTAACTAGGCCAAATCTGATGATGAGCAGGATACTGAAGGGAAGATATTTTAAGGAGGAGTCAATATGGAAGATGAAAATTAATGAGAGTGACTCCTGGATGTGGAAGAGTGTGATTAGTACAGGTGAGTTGCTGGAAATGGGAGCAAGAAAAAGAGTAGGAGATGGGCGTACAATTGATGTATGGGAAGACAGGTGGATACCTGATAGAGGAAAAAGGATGGTTACTACAGTAAAGCCTCCTCATTGCTCTATACAAAAAATAAATGAGTTTATTCAGAATGAGGAGTGGAGAATGGAGCTCATTAGGTCCATTTTTAATGAGGAAGACTGCAGGAATATAAAAAACATCCCTATTAGTATTTGTAGCAGCAAGAACAGATTGGTGTGGCCTTTCTCTTCATCTGGGGAGCATACTGTTAAGACAGGATATACTTTGGCAAAAGAGTTACAGAAACAGAGGAGTAATTGGCATGAAATGGCCAGAAGGCAGGTGGCAGGTGATAACATAAATGAACAAAATACAAAGGTTTCGAAGTTCATTTGGAGCCTAAATATGAAACATAAGCTAAAACACTTTATATGGAAATGTCTGCATAGGATCTTGCCAGTGAATGTAGTAATAAAGAGTAGAACTGGGAAAGGGGAGGACAAGTGCTTATGTTGTGGAGAGGGAACTGAAACACTAGAGCATATGTTATTTTTCTGTTAGTAGGCAACAGTGATATGGAAAGCTACACCAGTGAAATGGGATGGAATTGAAAATTTCAGGCACAACTTCTAGTTATGGTTGAATAGCCTAATGGAAGCTCAGTAGAGAAAGGGTGGAAGAGAGCATATAGTGCTGACAGTAAATATTCTGTGGCAGGTATGCAAGGCAAGAAATCAAGCTCAATTTAATAGAGAGAAAAAATGTCCTGGGATGGTGGTTAACAAAGCTATGCAAGAGTGGCAAGAATATGAGTTAGCCAACCAAAAAATAAAAGAGGTTGAACAAGAAACAGGTCCACAAAGTCAAGACAGATGGAAATTACCAATAGCAAGAGTTGTGATGCGCAATACGGATGCAGCAACTGATATAAAGCATGGGAAAGCTAGCTGGGGTATCGTAGCTAGAAAGGGAAATGGTGATATTGTTGGAGTTTGGGCTAGTATTGAAAAAAGATGCAGTGATCCTGTTGTGGAAGAAGCTTGCGCCATTAGGAAAGCTTTAACGGTAGCTATGCAAGAAGGATGGGTGAATGTAGAAATACAATATGATTACAAGATAGCAGTAAGTAAGATTTGAGATGAAGACACAAGGGATGCAAAGATTGAAACGCTAATTGAAGACATAAAGTTGTTAAAACAAAACTTTAGAAATTGCAGCTTTTCTTTCATTAGAAGAGAAGGAAATGTTGTAAGTCATAGTTTGGCAAGATTTGCCTTGAACTTAGTAGAGGATGTTTACTGGAAGGTTTCCTTCCCTCTTAAGTTAACTAGATTAGCTAGGGAAGATTTAGGAGCAGTTGCTCCAATTTTGTAAACAAACTTTGTAAAGTTGTTATGGTGCAATTTAATATATTGTTTACTTTGAAAAAAAAAAAAACTGAGTTAGGGTAGAATGCTCTCACATTTAAACTAGGAGATGTATTATATCTAGTAGTTAAACTATATCCAACTTAGATAACTAGTATAATCTACATATAAAGCTCCTAACAAGTTAATCATAAAAGGATTTTTCTCTCCCTTTCTTTTGCAAGTCATGAACATAATTGAGAAAAATTTGGAGGTTACATAATCAAGCATTTATATGTCTAAATTTATCATTTTAAAAAAATATATTCACACGAGGACAAAATATGAATAGAATGTCAAAACAATTAGACATTCTAAATCCATGTATTCTTATCTCATAAAAGTGCAAATTGGGATACACATCAATCAAGCATTCAAATATTACTTATTTGTCTCATACACAATTTGAGGAAAGAAAGTTAAGTTTTAAAAGTATATCTCAATATATTTCATCTATTTATAATTGTTATCATTCTCAGTGTCCAAGGTAGATGCATGCTTTACTTTTTACTTTTATTCTCCATCTACTCCATGGGGCAAAATTGAATTTGGTAGATGAGAACTCCATTTCTTTCTTCTTTCCAAATCTACAAACTATTTGGACGATTATTTTCAAAGTGTGGCTTGAGATAGATTGTTTTGACTTGACGGAATATATATTCTTGAATATCACTCTCAAACTACACGAATCTTAAACAAAAGTACTTTATACAAGTATGCACTAGTAGTATAAAAGAACATGTCTTGTATAACTTTGTACAAAGTATTAACAACGATAAGCAACTTATATATCATAAACAAGCAAATTCAAAATGATAATATTGTAATATATATATATATATATATTATTTTTTAATTGAAAATCCTTTGAAAGTTTAAAGTATCATTCATGTTGCATTCTTTCCAAAATAATAATAGGCAATGAGCCATAGTTTTTTTTTTTTTTTTTTTTTTGCATTCACTTCTTTATTTAACTAATCATCCTTAAATAAATCATATAAAATCATGCACAATCATACATATTTTGAAGAATAAAAATATTTTCAATTATCTAACAAATTATCAAGTAAGTTCAATTATATTCATGAATAGAACCCAAATTGATGGTTATTGAATCTCATATCTTTAATATCTTCATAAACTTTTAAAAGTTTTCTATAGTTATTATACATTGAAACACCACATAAAATATTTTTATTCCCCTTAAAATGCCTCAATGGTAATCTCTTGTTATTCAAACTAATATGTGACTTTCCTTTATTATCATATTGACTTTCGAATCTTAGAGACACATTTCTAATATCATTTTTCTTATAAACATTTTATTGTTCTTTGTGAATTATAGATTTATACTTTTTGACTCACATCATTTTAGCTCCTCCCTTAAACTCTCTTTTCTTAAAATATGTATCAATTTTATAACCAAAATTTCCACAAAAATAGCATGTTAATTTATACTTAATAAAACTTTTCTTATTATCATTAGAATTTTGAAATCATTCACTTTTATAACAAGTTTTGATTTCTTCTTTTCCATTGGTAAACTCATTTAAGCAGAAACTCAAATTATCTATTCTCTTCTTCATATTTACATGTTCAATTTTTAAAGATTCATAAACCTTCATTTTTTTTCTTTGAATTTTTCATTTTCTTTCTTTAATTCTTTATTTGAAATTTCAATTTCTTTGTGGGACTCTTTTACCTTATCAATATTGACCTTTAACTTCTCATTTTCTACTTTAATTTGCTTTTTCTCCAAAATACTAGGAGGAAAAGCCCATGCGACTCGCAGGAGTACCTGTAATTAAGAATGGTTAATAATTATTATTTGATATTTTGTAGTGTAAGAATTGAAGTATGACAATTTTATTATGTGATATTAAACAGAAAAATTATAAGTTACATATTGAGCCAAAAAATATAATATGCAATGAAACATAATTATAAGATACGATCAACCACTT